ATAATTTTTTCAAGTTTACCATAATATATAGGACATATTGAAAGACCGCCTTAACCCAACCAAGAAGAGTCATCTCTTTCATATTCATTGCTTGTAAGAAAATCTGAACAAATGTTTGAATAAATTTTTATAAAAATAAATATGAAATGTGAGGTAAATATAAAACGCCGGTAATATATAAAGAAGCAAGCGAACCAAATGTACATTTTCGTGCATAAGTGTGTGCATACATAGAAGGATACAAGCACCAGCCTATGTCATATAATACAACTTTGCAAGGAAACGTATACCGAGCAAAGATATGAGCCTTTTTTTACCTACAAGTATTTCTATAATTTATATACAAGCATAGGTTAGTATACGACCACATATGCATGCATAGTTTAGTATCTTATATGAAGCATACAACCGCAAATATGCATGCATACGTAAGTATCTCATAAGAAACGCACATTCATATGCACGTGTATGTAGGTGTGCCGTACGTGTTCATGTGTATGCTTTGCATTCCGATAAAATTGTATACGTTTTTTTTTTTGTTTTTTTTTTGTTTTTTTTGTTTTCTTTGATTATGTGTGCACTTGTCGCCTTCTTTCTCTTTCAATTTCTGTACCTATAAGTTTGCTTTGTTGCGTGTGTCTCTTCAATTTTTACTATTAAGAACGACAATGCATTGAATATTCTGTTTCTCAAGTGATTAAAATAATAACACACAGACATGCATATCTGCTACTTTTAATGCGTATCTAAGTGCATCGTACTTGTCAGGTGTTAGGTGTTAGAAAAATGTGAATGTGTAAGAATTTATATACGATACCACTACGCGAAAAGTATATATCATAAGCTTGTCAGATGTTAATGGAGTTGGGAAAATGCATATATACTCTTGATTATCGGGAAGAGTAAAAGTAATTTACTTGGCATTGATCCCACCGATGAGAAGAAGAATTTCAAAGTAAAAATTCTCACATTAATTTAAATTTTTCTTAAATGGTTTCGACATATTTTCGCTTTTATAATTTTCAACATCGGTTGCATATGTCCATTCTTTTCCTTGCACAAGCAGTACATGCCTGTTATGGCTCAGCTGAGATTACATTCGATTCCGTGGCATATTTACGTCTGAATTTGTTATTTGCTCTACTATTATGTAACGCATTATGATTTTTACGCTTACTTGGGATCTTATGTTTATAAGCCCAGCATACATTTTTTAAATAAAAAATATCAATGATTTATTTTCTCAAATAATATTTAAAATAAAATTGTAATATTCTTCCTCTTTAGTTAATCTTTTAGTTGCGTTTGATCAAAATATTCGGTTCAAGCCTAATAGAATAATTTTTTGTGTTTTTTCTCTGCGTTTTATGTGTTCAAAGAACATTTCTTTTTATTACAGTTTGTTTTAGTAGTTTTCCACAGTATCTAAGTGTGGACAAGATGACATTATCGAACATGAGTCAGTGCGTATGCTTAGACTTGTATGCAATAAGGTCATATATGCATGAAGTCAGTTTTTCTTTCTTCTCTTCTTCTTTGTATTCCGTTAAAAGTATAGAAATGTTTTCAATTTCTTTTTTTTTTATTTTTTTTTTTCTTGTTTTTTTGTTTTTTACTTTTTCTTTATAAGTGTTTCTGGTATTTTTTTTTTCTTCAGATTTTTTCATCTTTCAATTCTTTTCTATGGTTTTTTATAACGATTTTCTGTTTTCTTTTTTTTTCTTTTATTTTTTGGTACTATTAAGAAAGATATAACGTGTCTAGTGGTTTCAAGTCTATCGGATAAAACATGAAAAGTTAGCAAAAGAATTCGAAAATTAAAGGTCTGGCTTATGTCTCTCCTGAAGCAAGCTATGAGAAAACTAAATAAGACTCCTTGTATAGTTTCCTTTTTCCTAAAGTTAGTTACTTTCTCTGTTCATGATAAAAAAAGGATACGCACTTTGATCAAAAAGAAATGAAAATCGAGCGACTTGACTATCTTATATCAGGTTTAATCTTCTTGTAATGTATGAGGTGTTTTCAAAAAAAAAGAATTGAATTTTTATCTTTCTCGAAAAGTACTTTTTTATTTATTACCATTGTACGTCTGGAAAAATTTGGCAAATGAATGAGCAAGATTGCCTTTTCGTTATTCGGCGCATAGAAGGTTTTTTTTTGTAATTTCATTGGAAGAATATTTCATTGACAATATGCAGTGACGAGATTGTGAACAACCCAATGGCGTTCACGAAGGCCGCGAAGATAGTGTAAAGTTTAAAAATTCTAGCAAAATTCTTTCATTGTTGTAGTACCTCAATCAATAAGTTTATAGGAAATTCTTGGTTATAATGGCATAGTCTTTGACATAAGTGTGTTTATTAGCACTTTAAACCTAATAATAGTTTATGAGAAAAGAAATAAACTCAGCTTACTTTGAACTGAAAAATTGTTTCGTTCAAACTTTGCTATGGTATTGGTCGATGATCTTCTCTGTTGTGTTGTAATCTAAGCCTTTCCTCTTAAAATTTTGTTTAGTTGTGTAATGGCAAGCAGATGTAGAACGACTATTGACGACCTTCAAACGAAGTGTTAAAATTTCATTAAAAATTAAAACTTTTTTATCTTCTTATTTCATTAGATTCATCCAGAAGAGATATTGCCAAAGCATTTTCGTGATTACTCAGTCTGACATGGTATTTTAAAGAGATACTTTCAATTAAATTTCTGGTGGATAGAAAGCCCAAAAAGTCATCGTGAATAGTTTTGTTGCTAACGAACCACCGCTCATTAACAGTAAGACGGAGGGTTCTAGACTGATACTCTTGAAGTATTTCAATATTAGAGTTACTTTCTGTTTCGCAAGGTTCCATGACGTAAGTTTAAAATGGTTGGGTAATACTCAAAGTTCAATACAATTTTAAAATTCTTTCAGTTTGACTTCATGGTTCAATGATAAGCTATACAAAAATTTATTTTCGATTTAAGGCTTGTCTTCCTTGTATATTGTTTCAAGATTAAGTGCAGTAGTAAGCTTTCCAGTTTTCGTTAAAAGGATAGGAATGTACAGAATGTATAGAATGTACAGAATAATAGTTGCCATAGTGATGGCTATTCGTGTTTTCTGCTTTTTCTTGGCTTAGTCTCTCTCACTTACCCTGAAATACATGAGAAACACCTGCAGAATTAGTATGAAATGAAATGCGGCAGACTTGATATGTAGAATCCACAAAGCGAAAGATTACTAAATAAAATTTCCAATTTTCTCTTTTTTAAAACACTTTTAAAGACATCCTTGAGCTTAATTTCGGATGGTTGAAATTAGAAAACGCTTCATTATGGTTCAAAGACATAGACCGATCAATAACTCGACGATCGAAGACGCCTGCCTTAGTTTTTAGGTATTTTAATAGGTATTTGTGTATGTTGCAGACATACGCAAAAATCTTAAAGGCGACGTATAGTGTTCGTTAGGTTCGTTAGGTTTAATTCGTAGTTAGAGAATTGGGAAAAGCTTTTTCGTTTCTTTATTTTCTCTAACGTGCTCCTTACTTAACCCTGTAAAGTGTCGTTGATGTATCGATCTACCTAATTGCCTAACAAAATCTTTATTATTTTATATTTCCATAAATCCTTCCGAGCAAGCGATTAGTCAAGATTGCTACGATATGCAACTTTGGTACTCGTTAAACTTTGTTCCAATATCGGCAATGACGACGTGATCAGATCGACTAATGTTTTGGTATTAAAAATTTATTTAACCTCCCTTCGTCCGAGTCATGAGTCTGTTACAACGTTCCCTCCGCATAAGGCCTCATAAGTTTGCGGCTTATTAACAACTAAGACTCATTTAGATGCTAAAATGTTAGCACGAATTGTAGCTTTTACTTGATGTCCCACAACCTACGCAGGATAATATTAAAAAAAGGCCCACAACAAGGCATTAAAATCCATAGTAAATAAAGCCGAATATGAATGACACTATTACACGGATGGATCAATCGGTCGTTTTATGAACTATTCCAATACAATGACAGCATTATTAGAAGAAGTTGCGGACAGTAGCGGAGGCTATTTAACCGAGGATTACGATAAAACTGTTACCACCGCACGAAGATACATTCGGGTCCGTTTCGTAAAGTCAATCCAGGCAACTTTTGTACTCTTTGAACTAGATTGTGTTATCTACTCATCCTTAAGGTACTGACTAACGGTTGTTTCTTCTGATAGCACACGTTTCGATCGCTGACTTACTGCCTTAGAGTAGCGCATCCACTTTTATGGCAATGCCCAAGCCTTTCCTTTCGATTTTTTTGTGGATCGTTGTTGTTGAAGAACAATTGCTTTGACACTGACAAATGACATTTCATCCGAAAGAAAAATAGTGATTAACGATGGATTAAATAAAAAAAAGAATAGTGTTTTTTGTTCATAAATTCTTATGTGAACACAATTGCAATTTTATTAAAAATTTCAAGTTCAATTTCTCGAGAACGTTTATATTTTGAAACATAAAATACCATAAACTTTTTTTTATTTCCAAATGATAGTAAATTCAAACAAGTCTTAAAAGTTAATCTTAAATCTTCTTTGATGGCATTTTTATGTTAGAAAGCAAGAATTTATTGTATACGATGTGATGTTGACAGTTAGTTAGAATATAAAATTTGCGAAAAAAGTTTATTCAATCTATTGAATACTGATCCACGTGACATTTTTATTAATTGTAGCACAATGAATGATTCATATTTCATATGGCCCTGATTTCAAATTGACAGCATGAAAAGAAATAAAAATGATATGAAAAATTGATAAGCCATTTATTACCGGCATTTCGGTGGCAGTAGTCAGGATCACGTATGCATTTAAATTAAATTTTATATGTTTTATATTTATAGTATCCTTTTTCAAGTCATGCAAAATTAGTCAATCATTCCTCAATCGATATTTCAATAATCATAAATAAGATTTCTTTATTTTGATGAACACAAGTGCTAATGGATAATTAAGTATTAACTTACGCTCTCATAGATAATAAAATTTTTGTTTTGTGTAGTTGCTTTTATATTCCTTCCTTCAAGATTTGTGCAATGTAAACAGTAATCCTTTCATTTATAATCCACATCCGTATCCGATGTTGATTGTGATGAGATTTACTTGTATTTATCTTCTTTTCTTTTTTTTTTTTTTGTATCTTTTATAATTGAATTGTGTTTTAATAAAGCTTTCCTTTAATACTGATGTATTGTGCAATGCAACATTTTCACTTACACTTTCAAATATTTCTGTACAAGAATTTAAAGTAAATTTTTAAGGAAATTCTTATGAAATTACTATGTCATATTTTTATTACTTATACCTGTATACGTAATTACTTTCCGTTTTCTTTCTTTATGCAAACGAAAACGAATATAAATGACGGTATGCACAGCCACCAACTCTGTCACCGTTCAATTGCCAAACAATGATTTAAAAACAATATTAGGAAAACACATTTTTATTTATAACATTATAAAACGTCACATATACAAATATACACTATATTTAAAAATTGCACAATCATTGAAACCCCTTTTAAATATATTTTAAGTAATGTTTTTTCCAAACAAAATAAAAGGAGGATTTTTTTTTTCTTTTTTAGTTATTTATTTATTTATTTAATTAATTTTCTTTTATTATTATTTAATCTTATCCTTTTCATTATTTACATTTTCAACACTAAAATTTCCTTTAAAGACTTATGAAGCGGTCTCATCATCTTTAATTTTTAGCAGATTTTTGAAGACTAATGTTTCTCAATTACGCACTTTTCGGGTAAAGCTCTCGAAAAACACGATTTACAACAGCTCTGTTAAATACACGAACAATTGTTCTTTTTAGAGTAAACGAGAGCGCAAATAAGACAACGAGTAACTCGTTAACATAACGGAAGGAAACTTTAAAGAATATGCACATATATGCACTCTCTCTATTATGCTATCTGCATAGAGTTTACGGTGCGTATGACATTTATTTTTGTATTCCTTTTGCATTTCATTTACATAAAATGAAAAAATGTTATATTAGTTTACATAGGCTAAAGCGCTTTGTAAGCGGAGAAACCAATTTGCTGATAAAAAAAAAAAATTCTGTTCACTACGTGTACTCTCTGTTTATCTGTTGGTGTAATTGCAACATATTTATATACATGACTTCTATAAATCGCTTATATTACTAGTTATTAGTTTTTTCTTGTAGCTTTCTTTTGCTTATGGTTTTTTATGACTGTTATTATATATCCGGTTTTACCGGTTTTATTTATGTATTGAAAATAAAACAAGAATTTTCCTTAATTTAGCTATCATATAAAGAAATTTGTATTTGTGTACGATTACGTATGCTTCTTATTTGTTTATAAATTTATATAAATATAGAGATAGAAACGTTTTAAAAATTTCACATAGACGCTATAACAATTTATTTATTAGGTATTAAGTTTTTTCTCAGCTTTATTTATAGTTACGTATATTACTTCGCACAAGCTGTCGCGATAAGAAATTTACACATCCTTAACGTTCAAAATTCTAAAAAACACTAAAAAAAAAAAAATCGTTGTTATGAAAGAAATCTCCTCTCAGAGCAAACAAAACGTTACAATAACAACGCCAGCCAAAGTAAAACATGGCTCAACAATGACTAACATAGTGCACAGTAAAGCCTGTACTTGCTGAGGTACATGCTGCTAAACATGTTTAGGGCAACAAAATTGTAACTTAAACTTGAAAAAAGAAAATGTAAAATTTCACTCCAACAAATTTATATCGGATTTAATGCAAGCAACACGAAATTGAAACAAAACTTTTTTTATTCTTTACTTTTATTAGTAATATACGTAAAGATAACACTTTTTTGCAAGATACTAAATAAAACTTGTTATTTTCTTAACAGAAATTTTTGGATGTGTAAAAAAAAAAAAAATATAAAAAAAGTTGTCTGAAAATTTTAGAAGATTTCCCATAAGGCTTAAATAATCTTTTGCTTTATCGACATTTTTATTTAAGTACTTTTGTAATTGATACGGCTATGTGTTCAAATCTTATGATCATTGCAATCTTTATTATTGCGCTTTTAAAAAATTCTTATACGTATCGTATTTTGTACATTTATTGTCGATTTAATTTATATACCGTTATATGCTTGACACAAATGTCTGCAAATACAATCGAGTGCACTACAAAGCATGCTAATATAGCTGTCTATGAAATATTAAGCTCTATATTTTATAGAGGTTACATAAAAAAAGTGCGTCCTTTAAAATAAATTTTACGCAGGCGGCTTTCCATCTAAGTAAATATTTTTCTTAACAGAGCAATTGTTGTAGGCTCAGATATTTCTATATCAAACGAATACAATGCTCCTACAAATCGAGTTTTTCCATAGTTAATAAATTCACTGCAGCATTTATTAGCCAAGTCTACGTTCGTGGGCTCCAATCTCAAGTACTTTCGTCATAACTATAATGAGTGCTCAGTCGATAAAGGCATCGATTGGGCACACAGAAACTAGGCTGCGATCTAGCCCCTTTCTTCGCTTATTTTGGCCGTCATTGTGTTACATGAATTGGGGACCTCTCGCGAATGATTGGTTCATATTAAAAATTCATTGAATCATGATGCTTGCATGGAGCAAACAAAACTTTATATATATACATTGGAGAGAAACAAAGATTCATTTTTGGTTTGGTTCCATACATAAGTTTTAGTAAATAGCATTTTCGCTAAATGGCGATTCGATTTGTTTTTAAGCAACACTTTGGCTACAGGAAAGCTATCGATTGGTTAAGTCGCCGATATGTGGACATTGCAAGTTAAATAATTCATGTAGAGAAGAAATATTAAAGGAACATAACAAATATATAGAATAATCGAACAGCTTAAGCAGCATAAGAATTAATTTTAATTTATTTTAAGAAGAAGCAAAACGCTTTGGTGGAATGCGGCCCACCATTCAATAGTCTGTACCACTAATACAGCTATTCATATAACGACTTTTCAAAATAAGCTTTCATAGGATAGGCGGTCTGATCAGAATCATTTTTAATCGTCTTTGGCCGTAAATATACCAAAATATCTCAACAGTTGCGACTTGTAGGTTGAACGCAAGATAACAAGACCGACAGACGGACGGACAGACAAGCTTAAATCGATTCAGACAGTGATTTTGACAGTGACCTTTCAACTGCATAATAAAAGGTGAGTCTATCAAGGCCTTCTCCGTAGAAATTTAACGCATTCTTGTAAGAGAAGAGGTATAGGGTGGAAAGAGGAGACAGATGTTTTAGTATTATGCTATGTATAGGTTGGAAAGAGGAGACAGATGTTTTAGTATTATGCTTAAAAAAGAGCTCTTAGTATAGTATAAACCCTCTATGTCCTCAAGTTATATATTTAATAAAATAAGAGAAAATAATATAGCAAACTAGGTCAGGTTTAGATTGCTCTGCTATGCACTGATACGATGTGAATAAGATTGATTTTCGATCAAGTGTTGTCAATGATTTCTAAGAGAATGTAAACTATGGTCATACATTTCGAACAAGATTGGAAAGTGAGCTGACAACCCATATGGATAAGACGAGGTTAGTATAATGGTGTACTGGTCGCTCAGCTTTTTCTCAGGAACTAGTTTGCGAACAACAATCTGTCCTTTACATATATCTGTTGTTTCTAGACCAAATCAATCTACCCATGAGTTTTTCTTGCTCTTTTCTTTTATAACCTTTCTATAATTGCATTATAATTATTTTTTTTGGACAAACTTTTTGCTACTAAACGAAAACAAACATTAGTTTTTTTTACCATTAAAAATTTTACCATCAATTTACTTAGTTTGCTGAAAACCATATATTAAATTTCTTTATATAATTGAAATAATAATACTAATGTTTCAATTTGCTATCTATCTATCTATCTATCCATGTATCTTCGATTAAAAACTTGTGCGAAATAAAGCTTTATTTATGAATTTTTAATTTGTAAAATTTATGCAAATTGATAAATTTTCGATAGAACCCAAGTGCAACTATCAATTTGTGTTTGATTTTAATTGACTACGAACGAAAATAGTTAATTTCATTATGAGAGTTTTTAAAATACCAATATCAAAAATTGTGTGCCCTTTTATCCAAAATAATGCATTCAAAATCCATTTTAATTGTTATTCATTATGATATTTACTATAAATTAATTGCTCATATCATGCATAGTGACATAGCTTGAAGCCAATGCATATTACACTTAATTGCTGCACATATTTCATAAAACTGCATGATATGAAAAACATACTCATGTTTTTACTTAACGTGAGATGCCGAACATTATTCGGATCGAAATAATATCTAATACGCAAAAATGTGGAAACAATTAACTTTTTTTTGTGGTCTGTCGAGAAAAACTTAAAACGAAACTATCATAAAAATGCATTAGTATCTTATAAAAACGTAAGTACGATATTTACGAAAATAAATTGTAAATAATGAAAAAATTATTTTGAAACCATTTGTACATCATTTTTGAATGGATGGATGTGGGTCTTAGTGCATTTGAGTAACATTGGGAAAGAGTCGGATTTTATTGATTGCAACGATTATTACGTACTCTTAGCATCACGTCAAATAACACAAATTTAGAGGAAAAACGAAAAGATTTTGCATATATACCTTTCTACGGCTCGAAACTGGATTTTGATCAAAAGTAGTTAGTTGCTATTATATCAAAAATGATCTAAGAATAATTTAAATATTGCGATGTAATATTGAGGCCCTGGAGGAATGAAATCCGTGGACGAACCAGATGCTCCTCCCAAGACCATTTATATTACTTGGGCCGTCGCAAACAGTTGTGTTTTATATCATTTCCTTAGGGATTTTGTTCGCCGAAAAACTTTTTCCGGTTTCTCGTATACATACCTTCCCAATTGTGCATATTACCACTCGCTCATATTCCCATTTATTCGGGGAGAATATTAAGTCAATTGTAGTATTAAGTCACTTGTACTACTGATTATTTTCTTAAAGGTTTCGTGCCTTTTTTATAATAAACGTTTTAGATCCCAATCTTCCACCTTCGCCCATGTTATGTCGTTTATATCAGTTATAGCATTTTTGTAAACTATAATCTCACTCGCGATTATGTGACTGCTTACTAGCATCGGATCTACCGCATGTGCTTACTACTGCGGCTCGCCCAAAAAGTCTGCCTTCTTCAGATTGGCTTCGCCGATCGATTCGTTTATTATACTGTTGCTAAATACGCTTTTTCTAAGATACAGCCCCCGTATCACTAGATCGGGGATATTTTCTTCATGAGAAATACACTTGAAAGTTCTTTGATTTTCAATTTTTTCAATTTCTTTAAATGTAGGATTATTTACAATTTATTTTTGGCAATACTTTCCACTGCTTAACTCAAATATTCTTTTTCTACTATCCTGCCTTCTTACAAATATTTTATTTATGTACATTTTTACCATTATAACATTACTAGTACCTAATTTTAT